AAGGACCGCTGGTGCCACGAGATCGACATCATGAAGAAGTGAGTGCGGACGGGTCGGCACGGCGCAGCCCGGGCAGCCGGGGCCCAGCGGCCCTGAGCTAGCCAGGGTGAGGGACTGGGGCATGGGGACAGCCAGCCCCTGAGCCAGCCGGGGTGAGGGTCGGGGGCGTGGGGGCAGCTGGGGCCGGCCTCAGACCCTGAACCAGCCGCGGTGAGGGTCTGCCTGTCACCTAGCAGCTCTGCACTGGTTTATCTGTCATCCCAAGATGTCCAAGCGCTTCTGCTCCAGTGTACCAGGTGATGCCTTGGCTTGGGACCTAGCGACATCCAAACCCTCTGCACTCTTGTGCTGCCTGGGCTGTTTGTCCATCCCCTAGTGATACCTAAATTCCTTCAGACTTGCACGATGTGGTGCGTTGGGTTTTAATGTGGTGACATGAGAACACCTGCATGTTCCCATACTGTGTAGTGCGTTCATCTTTGATTTAGCAGTCAGGGAGCTAGGAATTGCTTTTTTTCTGTCACGTTCCTGCATGTACAGAATAACATCTCCTAACGCTTTCTCATGAGAAACGCTATGCTGCCCACCATCCCTCTCTCCAGCATGCCACTTTGAGGTACCTGTGAACCAGAGCTGGCCAGGTTTGTCCTCATGGATGTGCACAGTAGTTCTGGTTGCTGGGGTCTCATACAGTTGTTCCCTCGTCCTGAGAATTCCTTCTCCCTTTTGAGAGAGATCCCGGAGCATTAAATGCTCCGTCCCACTGGTGGGAGCAGGGACACCGCTCAGTTTTGTTCCGAGTTCTCACCAAAGGTTGCAGTGCCCCTGCTTGCATAGAGGTTTACTGAGCTCGTACTCTGCCTTCTTGTCACCCTCGCCTGCTCACTGTATGCACTAACATTGGAGGAAACCACCTGCAGGCAACCTGAGTTTGTAAGTCAGGGCTTGGTGATCACTGTTCTTGTTAGTGTTTTCACCATACTCGTTTTCTGAATACAAGCACTGAGCCGCACAGCTACAGCTGCTCTTGTGGTGGCTTCCAGAGGCTTTGGAAGGTGTTCACAGAAGTAATTTGTCTTTACTTCCTTCTGGATGCGTCTTTTATTCCCAAGAGTAACATATATTAGAGACAGTCAGGAAACAGCTGTCTGAACTCAGTTGCAGAAATGAATCCTTCCCTGTGTACATGGATTTCACTTGCCTGGTTCTACCTCCCTTGTACAGTTACACAAGTGTTAACAGATTCCTATGAAACCCTTGGGCCAGGGGGAAACTGTCCCCACATGCAGAAACAGACACATATGTAACAACTTTGCCAGGAATGTGCAGGAATCCAGAATTTGAGCCCAAATCCCCATCATCAAAGTCCTGTACCATGACTTTGAGACATCGTTTCTGCTCATCACTGGTTTGTTATTCCCAAGGTATGGATTTTATGCATTTGGATACTGGTAGGTACCAGTTGAAGAGTGTACTTCTCAGCAACGATACATTTGGGGAATAGAAATTGTACCTGAAACATAAAACATGGTTGGTTGACAATCTGTTGTCTTACTCTTCCAAAAGAGGAGTCAGAGTTTTCATCCAGATTTCCACATGCCTAGGTTGAACCATCCCAATGTAGTAAGAGCCTGTGAAGTTCCCGAGGAGATGAACTTTCTGGTTAACGACGTTCCTCTTCTGGCAATGGAATATTGTTCAGGGGGTGACCTCCGGAAGGTAATGTCTGTTTTGCTTTGCAATATGTAGCAGAATAAGTGGAGTTAATGCTGTTTCTGTAACTGTGGTTGTCTGAAACCATGTTTGTTCTGTGACACTTTTCTTTTTAGGTACAGGTGTGGGGAAGTAAATGCAAAGTGGAAAAAGAACACGTGTGGGAAATGAGGCTTTTGTTTTTGAAACCAGAGGACAGAGGGCAATCCAAGGGCAGATACCCTGTTATCCTGAACCAGTGTGTCCTTTCGTGGAACTGCTTTAGCATTAATACAACTTCCCGTAGCCTAGATGCTCGCACCCAGCGTGTTTGGCTTTGCTGCAATGTGTCTCTACCTGTTTGGAGTCTGATCTGGTTTTGATTCACGTGTATCCAGTGTTGCATTGCTCTCAGCGCGGGGAAGGATCCTTTTGGTACTAGACTGGGGCCTCCAGGGCTTCAGAGACTTTCCTGTTTCCTGCTGAACTGGGAACTTCTGCAAAGCAGCAGCACCCAAGAGTAAAGAAACCTTTCAGTAGTTCCCCAGGCAGTGGCTGCATGGCCCGATAGTTTATCCTCCCTTTCCATTGCAGCTGGATTCAGGAAGCAGCCATTTGTATAGGGGCGAAGAAGCAAATCCCTGTTGGTTAAGGTTTGTTTAGAAATCACCTCATCTAAGTGATCAAGAAGCTCATTTTTCTGTTGTTGTTTTTGTTACTGGTGTTAAATAGCACTGGAGGAACATGAGCAGATGTTGAATGCAATAACTGCATATCTGCGATAGCAGCTAGTGTGTTGGTAACTTACTGAGCCTCATTTTATGTCTTTGAGTTGTTTAAAACAATAGGGACAATTTTAAGAGACAAGGTTGGCAATGAAGGGGAGTGGGTATATATGAGAGTAGCATTTGGATGTTGCAAACACATGTAGCTGACCATGTTCTTGGTGACGCTTGGGTGTTGTGTTTTTGCAGTAAAAGTTCTGAGACTACTTGAAGGTAAATTGGAGACCCTGGCAAAGAAATTTGGGGTTACATTAGCTCTACTTGCAATGCAGTATTTGATCATTTAATTTCTAATGAATCCTTAAATGTTGCGTAGATGCTGGGACAATTCAGGAAGTAACATGCTTCATTTCATTTGATCGCATGTAATGCTTTGTTCCCTAAAGAAAAAAAAAAAGATGCATGTTTTTTTATTTCTGATCCTGCTCTTCTTTAAATCTTTCTCTTTCACGCACTTGGCATCATTTGTGTTTTGCACCGCTATTAATTTCTCATTGCACATCTGCAATCTTCCATAAAGCCTGGAAAAACATCTGCTTCTGTCTATGGGCCACGCACATTTTTATGCCTGTGTTCTTTCAGGGTAGCATTCTGGGCTCCGAGCTTGAACTTTGCCCCTCTCCTCTGTTGTTCAGCACATCTACCCAGAACTTAAGGAGTGAGCGAGCTTGATTTCTGACTTTGCCCCTCTCCTCCTTTGTTGTTCAGCACATCTACCCAGAACTTAAGGAGTGAGATGTTGAAGTTTGGCTTCTCCCCCATAGAGCTTTGACTACTGGTTGTGCCTGAAGTGTGGGAGGCAGGCAAAAACATGAGGATACATCGTGGGAGGGGTGACTGCAGTGCAGAGGTGTACCTCAGTCATCTGCACAAGTCTTCAGTGTAGTGATCAAAAAATCAGATCGCATGTTGATTGACTCAGGGCTTATGCAGGAAATTGCTGAAGCTACTTATTGACAGATCATTAACACAGTGATTAGGAGGGGGTTTCCTATGGTGCTTCTACTATACCTTTCGCTAGAGGAGAAGAATTCAGGGCAAGGGAAAAGAGAGATGAGAAGCACTTGAGAGTGGAGGCAGGGTTGAGAGTTCAGGTCATGGTCCATGCTGTGGACACTCCAGTGATCCACAGGCCAATGATCTGCTTTTTAGCTCAGGGTTAACTAGGTGGGTGACCTAGAAGCCAGCGTGCTGAAGTGTCGAGCAGCTTCTTCTCGTTGTGGGAGGGCAGTCAGGAAGGAGACCGTGTCCCAAGGCAGAGCTAGCCAGCGATCAAACGCTCTGAACTGAAGGTGACTTGTGTGGAGTGGGGCAGCCTGCAGCAATAGCACCGTTATCGGAGAACATGCCCTTTACTGGTTTTAAGGTGCCTGACTGTGAGGTGGGTGGCTGGTACTGTGCCTCAGACCTTGCAGGGCTCAGGCAGTGTTATGGGAGTGGGGACTGACTATGGGTGACTGCAGAGGTGGCTGCACAGTGTTTGGCAGCCTCTTGCAGCAGGGGCTGATACCTGGGTGGCTTTTCCATAGCGTGGGGTATCACTTGGGTTACAGCACACTGAGAAAAACAGGCTCTGTTAGAGTCCATGGCCAGCTCGTTCAGATTAAAGCAGCGATTGCTTTGGTCCAGCTGGGCTGTTTGGGAGCTGTAAATGACTGCAGTGATCTTCTCTTCTGTGGCCTACACTGAATTTAGGAGTTACCCTGTTGGTTTCCCTTCTCGTCCTTTTATCAGTGACCCATGTTTGAATGCCAAGGGCTTAGATGCGCATCCATTTCTTTTGCTTTTTGTCACTCAGTTTATTCTCCTCACTGGAGAGTTGTTCTTCCAAGCAGCAGTCCTGCTTCAGGTATTTGGGGTGTTCCCAAATCCCATCAAGCCAAACTTCTTCAGATGAGGAACGAGCAGGTTCCAGGAGCCTCAGGATCCCCATTGCCTGCAGCCGTATGGCCCTGCCTGCATCTCTTGCCCATTTGCTTTCTGATGGCTTTCATGCTTTTGTGGTATTATTCTAGCAGTCCAAATCTTCTTTTCAACCACACCTCTGTGCAATGAATTTTTGTTTTGTCCAAGTTGTTTTCTTTTCCCCCCATGCTTTTATTTCACAAAGCCAACTACCTCATTCAGCTAGAGTTATATTTAGCCAACTACCTCATTCAGCTAGAGTTATATTTGAGCTATGCTGTTTTCTGTGTCATCTCAGCAGCGGATGGAAAATGTTGTTCTTGACTGTTAACTGTTGCATTGTGGGTCTAAATATCTTTTTCTTTACTGTAGTTGCTAAACAAACCGGAAAATTGCTGTGGGCTTAAGGAAAGTCAAATACTTTCTCTGCTTAGCGACATTGGTATGTAGTCTAATGCCTTTCTTGTGTTTTGTTTTTTGGGGGGGGTTTTATTATGTGTAATGGCATTTTGCTTTTTCAGCTGACCCTGAAAAGGGGACTAACAAGAGCAGGGTGTTAAAACAAATCAGGTTTCTATTCCAGAGGAAGGATTTGGTATCCCTGATCACAGAGACAAGAAGCTTGCACTAATGACGTGTCTGTGGAATGGGATTGGAAAAGCTGTGTAGTGGTCAGTTGTAGGTAACTATGACCTTAATGTTTTGGTTTTTTAAGGTCATGGTTTTCCGTTCAAACCCCATTTCTGTTCATGGCTCTGGAGATGCCAAACTGCATGTCGCTTGCAGGAATGTAACTTTTACAAGCTAAAAAGCAAGAACCAATGTGAGAAGTGCCAAAGTTGCCCTGTGGCTTCTCTGTGTAGGGTTTGCTTAGTAGGAGGGAAATTTTGTTTGTTCAGGGTGACAGTACAGAGGAGATAATAAACTGGAGTGGAGCTGAGAGCAAGGTAGGTAAGAGCATAGCAGAAGAGGAAGCCAACTATGCCGTGGCTGCTCCAGCAATCTTCTGGCTAATGATTTGCTCTCAGCTAAGGGTTAATTAGGTAGGCGATCCCAAAATAAGTGCGCCTAAATGTTGAGAAGCTTCTCATTTTGGAAGAGCAATTCTGTTCATCTGCATTAGAGTTGTGGCTAGCACAGTGATGGAAATCATTGTCTCCTTTACTTGCCACTGGGGAGGCCACATCTGGATACAGTTGTCCACACCTGGCCCCAAGTTCTAGAGGGACGTGGAGATCCTGGCAAGGCCCTGCAAAGGCTGCCCAGGGCCTGGAGCACCCGACCCACCAGGATATGGGCTTGTTGTGTCTGGCTGCAGGGAGGCTGAGGAGGGTCTGAGAGCAGCCTGTGACTACAGAAAGGACAGATGCAAAGGTAATGGATGGGACCAAACTGTACTTGGTGAGCAGCGTAACAAGGGGCACCAGCCCTACGTTGCACCATGGCAGGTTGAAGCACGAGGTTGGAGAAGAAACCTCCTTTCCCACCAACACTGCTTTTGTGCTGTGCATGGCCCTAGGGAGGGTCCCAAGGCAGCCTACAGGGAGGGTAGTGTCAGCAGAGTGATGACAAGATGAGAATTAGCCAGACATCAACTTGATCTGTGTTACAGAAGGTGTCTGATACCATGTGGATTTCAGATTCTGTAGTTTGGAAAGGGAGCAGGCAGCAAATCTGTACAGGATGGAAGTAGCCCAAGGTGACAGCACTGCTCATAGGGGAAAAATCTAATTTAATACCTTCGGGTGCCGGCTTTCAAGCCATTTCCCAAGGCTGTAGTAATCCATGGAAATCATTCTGTGATACAAACTTGATGGTCTCCAGAAGTGTTTCATCAAGTATCTCATTTTTCAAACTGTTGAGCTTTAGCTTGCTTGATGCCAAAATCTTGACCACCAAGAGCACTGTAAGAAAATAAAAGATGTGAGACTTCCAACTGGCCTTCCTGTCCATCAGGAAGTGCCCAGCTTCTTGGACACCCTGGGGAGGACAAGTAATCTGATTGAGGGTGGTGCCTACAGATGGTTTCTCTAGCCAGTAGGCTCTCCAGGAGACTTCCTCAGTTAGAGCTCCTTGGTTTTTTAGTTCTCTTAGAGATAACCCATCTCTACTTGTAGGAATGGAGCTGATTTTGGCATGAGAAAGCATTTTGGACGTATTGGCCTGGGCTTCTGTCCTTTCAGTGTGCAGATAGCTTGCAGTTAATTTCCTGAAATCAAGCACAACTCTGCATTCCTTCATCCTTGTTCCCCTTCCACCTGCAGAATGGGGTCTGTTGTCTTCATAATAAGTTGAATGTCTCTGGCATGTCTTTGACAAAGATTTGAAAATGCAGTGGAGAAGAAATGCAAGTTAGAGGCTGTTAAATGTATAAATGAGTGGTAAATCAGTGAAGGTTGGGGACTTTTTCCCTGATGGGAGAAAGTGTTCAAACTGTGGACAAGGCATGTTGGTTGAATATTTCTCTTAAAATAATCCCATAATGAATTTACAGTCACAGCTGGTTAGAAGTAGGCTTTACACGATGTGCAGTCGGAATATCTTTTGCATAGGAAATTTTAAAATACCCCATGATGGAGATGAGAAAATACAATACCTGCCTTGGGCCTTTCATGGGACCTTTTCTTTTATTTCCACTTGCACATCTCCAAGATTGAAAAATCATGACTTAAAAAAAAGTCATCTTTTGCTGTTTTGTCTGTGGCTATGTCCTGTGGCAGACACTTGCTTGATGATCTTTTATTTAGTAGCCATTGTTGTTATTTGGGTGGACCAGTAGTGAATTTTCCCCTTCCCACAGGCAGAATTTCTCGTTTCTTTTTTTATTAGTGGCTCCACGGTCCCCTCAAGGCAGTTCAAGTGTGGACTATTGCCACAAGGCAAAGTCCTGCTCTTTGTCTTTTGTTGGGCACGTGCTCCCATTCCCTCCCCTATTGCAGCCACTCCTGTACCCAGGTGAGGAGCGGGTTCTGGAAACCAGCCTGGCTAAAACCTGATTATTTTTTTCTTAGTAGTTTCCAGCTGGATCAGTCCCAGGATCAAGCTGATCACACGGTGCCATAAATGCTTGTGCTGCCATGGAAATTGTGTCTGAAAAAGGAGAGTTTGGGAACCTGTGTTCCTTCTGGGGACAGCCCCCATGTAGCTTGGCTTAAAGCAGTCATGGAATTTCATTTTTAGTGGTGGGAGTGACAGAAGTGGTGCTACTTGGAGCACACCAGTCTGCCACCAGCAGAGGGGAAGCCTTGAGCCCCTAAGTTCAGTGTTGCTAATACTGACCGGGGCATTGCTGGCGGCACCTCAGTCAGCTGCTCCATGCAGCATTAACCAGAGGCTGCCCAAGAATCAGGTTTTAGCTCCAGCCGTGCTTCTGCTTCATCACAGCTAGACAGTCCCTTCCCTGATGGGGTGGTTTGCATTGTGGTGCTTTGACAGTGGTGGAAGTTTACTAGAAGCTCTGTAAGCCACTATTTGGCAGTAGTTTTAGGTCAAAGGGAAACTCTACTTGTTTCATTTGCTTAATTAATTTCAGTGCTTGCTTTCATCAACATCTGGCATAATGTGCTCACATATATAATAGGCCTTTTTGTTATCATGTGTTAATTTACTGAGATATTAGGCTAGAGGACGTGCAGAGCGGTTTCAAGCTGCTTACACATTTTGGAGACCTGTTTTGCTTGTCTGCATGCTGTGGTTCATTTTGTAACTCTACAGTTTCAGAAGAATTCAGGTGCCTTCTCTCTTGCCTTGCAGGCAAGAAATGTGACCTGTGGTTATGCCACAAGGTCTGAACTCTGTACCAACCTCCATTTCTGCAGAGCAGAGGAACAGAGCTAGTTCAGTCCTAGCATAAATTTTATTAATCTTTTAAGTCACTAGTTCTTAATGGTGCTTTAAAATGAAAATTTATTGATGTCAACCCCAAAGTCAGGGATACTAGATTTTCATCAGGTGTATCTTTAATCAATGTGAGTTTATTTTCTGTTAAATCAAACGTGTCTTTCAGGGTCTGGTATCCAGTATTTGCATGAAAACAGAATTATACACAGAGATTTAAAGCCTGAAAATATTGTTCTTCAGGATGAAGGTGGGAAGGTAAGTCAGGTGGCCTCTGTCAGTGGTGTTCCCACTGTCATTTCTGGAAGTTGTCAGCAGCTTTGTCTTGCCTGAGAGAAATAAAAGAGAACAAGTAGTTTGTGGCATTGAACTGGGCTGAAAACTGCACTGTGAATTTACTAAAAGTTTACGTCTTCTTGAAGCCACAAATCCTCTTTTGCTTATTCTTAAATCCTTGTCATTAAAAACAAACAACTTTGGCTTCCATTCAAGAACCTGCCTGCAACAGAATATGAAGATATGAGATTGTCGCATATCCCTGGTTTTGTGGCTTTGAGGGCTGCATGTAAAATTAAGCTAGTTCAGAGAGTCAACCTAATAGATTTCTTAGTGAAAATTGTTTTCTCTTGTTACTCTTTAAACAAATAACTTTAAATTCCCAGATAAAAAGCTAGATACTCTGTTCGGCCAAGCTGTAACTGGCAAGCTGCTTTAAATAAAGTCGAGTCTAAGTTGAGATAGGTAGACAATGCCAGCTTACGTGGTGAAACAAGCCTTAACACTGTGTCACATGTCGAAGCTTTGCCATGGACTTTCTCCAGAATTTCCATTCTGGCTTTCCTCTTCTTGAGTGCATGCTGTGGATGTCACTGCACAGATTTTGGGTTGTTTGGTGGAAAAATTCAAATTTTTCTCTGAATTTGCTCTTCTAATGAACTATTTAAACTGTCTACAGATTGTTCACAAAATAATAGACCTGGGATATGCAAAGGATCTGGATCAAGGAAGTTTATGCACTTCATTTGTTGGAACATTACAATATTTGGTAAGATTTTTTTTTTTCCTTCATGTATACAAGTGATGTGGTATTGCCACATTTTATAGAATCACAGAAGTGTGTGCCAGAAGGAGCCTACAGAGGTCCCTTGTCCAGCCTCCTGCTCGCAGCAGGACTGTCACCAGCACTAGGTCAGGGCAGCCGTGGCTTGGCCCAGCCAAGCCCTGAAACCTCCAAAAGTGGAGATCCCACACCTTCCTGGGGACCTGTCCCAAGGGTGTTCCCTCTCCAGGGGAAGAAGTGTTTCTTCATGTCCAACCTGAACCCCCCAGACGGTGATCTGGGGCCGTGGCCCCTCATTGTATCACCTGTCGCTTCCAAGGTGAGTTTGGCCCCATCCATCCCCTCCATCCCTTCCTGTGCCATGGTTGGGGGCTGGTGTCAGCCTGCCCCCCCTCCAGCCTCCCCACAGCCAGGCCCAACCAGCCCAGCTCCCTCCCATCTCCTCGTGGGTTGAGTGCTCCAGGCCCCGACCCAGCGGGCAGCCTAAGTGAGGCTGCATCAGGGTCCCTGTGCCACTCTGGAACTGGGGGCCACGCCTAGACGCAGCTTTGTCTCTGCAGAAATGCAAGAAAATAGATGACCTGAAATACCACTTTCAAAGTCTCTTTTTGTGATCCTTTTTAGGCTCCAGAACTCTTTGAGAATAAATCCTACTCAGTTACTGTTGATTACTGGAGCTTTGGAACGATGGTGTTTGAATGCATTGCAGGATTTAGACCCTTCTTACACAATCTACAGCCATTTACGTGGTAAGACACTTACTCTGCAACTGGTGATGCCAGGCAATAGCAGCGACAGCTGTTGCGTGTGGTGAGGTGGCAGTGTTGAACCAGCATGACAAATTTATTGTTAGTTAGGTGCTGAGGCTGGTGGTCTGCTAAGCTTTGCAGAAGCCATTGATACTTCAGTAGTATCAATGACGGTTCGACTGGCTATTTATACATATTTTGGTATGCGCTTATTACATTGTGTGGTAGCCTCTGGTCGTAATAATTCCTTCACAAGTGAAATTTTAATCAAAAAATATAAACCAGTCTGTGTATCGGTGTCAGAAAAATGTAATGGGAAGGAGTGATACAGTCCTTTGTTCACCTAGGCTGTGAGGTTACTTATTTTTAGCAATAAATAACACATAGCAAGACAGAGCATGTTTTGTGTAGTAAACACATAGTTAAATGTCTGTAAGTAACTTTACAAAAGCGATGACTGAAAGACTTGTATAGAAGGGGCAGAAATATATTTTTTTTATATTTCCACTTCTTGCAATACCAGGAGTGTACGTAAGGTTGGTTTTTAAAAGGATGATTCTGCAACAGAAAAAATATGAAACTTGCTTTTCTGTTAGCATTGAAATAATAACAGGAGAAAAGGTAAATTTGAGTTTTTATGCAAGTGTTAGCTTAAAAAATTATTACGTGTTAACAAAAAATAATTTTAACCAATATGTTGCAATAGTTTCCCTTTTAACTGCTAATTCTTGGGCTTTTATTATTCTAATAGTTCAATATTTGTTGCATTTTTTCCAACATGGAAAACTTGATTTCCTAATGTAAGTAGTAGAAAACTAATGAATGGACAAGCTTAGAAACAGCTCGTCCCTATCCATAAAAGAAGGAAGAGAAAAGCGCAGGCCACACACATGTAGCTTCAGTTCCAGTCGGGGCTGACAGGGACGGAGAGCAGGCTGGCAGCCTCCAGGAGCAAGAAGCGTTCAGCTGCCTTACAGCTGGCTGACTGTCGACTTACCCTGGGAAATCCTGCTTCTCCGGGAGCGGCTGAGCTCTAGGCAAGGTTCAGACCAGTGCTGAAGTGAGCCAAGGTGAGGAAACTGAGGCAGAGTTGCTGGTGATGCTTTCCCTGGTACTGGATCCAATAGCATGCTGTGTTTCTAACACTTACTAGATGCTTCACTCAGATCAAGGTAAGGGCAGTGGTTTTGCCACATGACTCTTGCAGGTCTTACTTGTCTCATTAATGTGTGGAGGCTGATTTTGTTGTGCAGGCTTGCTCTGTGGTCAGTGAATTGTTACCTGTTGGCCCCCTTGTTTGATGCTGTACAGACCTCCTTGCAAGCAGGTGCAAAAATGTTTCCAGAGACAGAGTTAATTGCAAGGGCTCCTCTCTTCCACTTGGAGATGTTCTGGGTGGATTGTTTGGAAATGTTGTCTATCTCCTGAAAGAAGAGTTTGTTTTCTAAAGCTACTAGACTGTGGTGCTTTTTGCTGCTGCCATATTCAATTGACCCTTTACAAAAGCAACATTGTCAGTATATCCACAAAGGATTTTATCTTCTAGGCATGAAAAAATCAAGAAGAAGGATCCAAAGCACATCTTTGCTTCTGAAGAGATGAATGGGGAGGTTCGCTTTAGTACCCATTTGCCACAGCCTCACAGCCTCTGTGGGTAAGTGTGTCCTTGTGCCTACATGTGGTAATTTTTGGCTTGTCTTTTAAACTGAGGGCTCCTCCTCCTTTGTCCCAAGCACTGTGAGGGGTCCTCCTTCTTTCTCCTAAGGAGTGTTTCAAGCTTCTGGCAAGCTACCGTTTGCTGTTAAGGAATAGCCCATAGCCACATGGCTCTTTTTTGATACTTTGGGCTCTCCAATGGCAGTTCACCCTGCAGTTTGTGGGATGATGGCAGTTCACCTTGCAGTGTGAACTCTGTGACTGCTTTCCACCCATTATGAGTAACATCTACCCGATAACTTGATGGTATTGAATCTCATAAACCAAGTACTTGAGTTAGCTGCTCCACGAAAGCAGAAGCTTCTGGTACTCGTGTTGGGAAAACTGCAGCAAGTCCAGCAGAGGCCACAAAGATGGTCAGAGCCTGTTGAATAGAGCATACAAGGAGAGGCCCATGAAGCTGGGCTTCTTCAGTCTGGCAAAGAGAAGGCAAAGGGGGATCTAATTTTGTCTTCTACTATCTTTTGGGGCGTTACAGAGACAATGGATCTAGGCTCTTCTCAGAGGGGCAAAGCAAAAGGACAAAAGGCAACAGCACAAGTTACAACAAGGGAAACGAAATTTGGTCACAGGAAAAAGGTTTCCCCATGCTAGTGATGCGTCCTTGGGACAGGGCCCCGAGCAGTGGGGGATCTCCATCTGTGGGGACTGCCCAGACTTGCTTGGACACAGTCCTGAGCAGCCTGCTGTAGCTGCAACAGTGGCCCTGCTGTGGGCTAGGGCTCAGACCGAAGACCTCCAGGAGGGCCTTCAACCTGAACTAATTGGTCTGTACCAAGTCAGAAGTCAGACTCTGATCGTTTGTCACTTACTTAGCACTTGGGTCTTCAGATGTGCCTAGCAGTGCAGCGCAGCTCATTGGCACTGGCAGATTTCTAGGAAAAGTACTGGAGTTGAGAATGAAGTGGCTTTGTGCCAGTGCTTTGGGCTTTTTGCACTGTGTACTGTCTTTAAAGACGTTCTTGACAATGAACATAGAGGAGAACCTTCCAGGTGGCTCTGCAGCATGGGGATGGTTATTCTGCAGACAAGGCTTTGAAAACTATTAGATTTTATGTGTATAACAGATGGGTTTTGGAGGGAAAAAAAGAAAAAAAAGATTCTCCCCCTTATCCATTTTGACACACCTTACTGATGTGTCAGGATACTTTTGACTCAATGAATAGGAGTCAGGAAGAGGGAGAAGTGTAATGCAAGTTATATTGGATGGGTGTGTGCTCCTGCTGAGGTCAGTGAAGACTGTTGTTATGGTGGGGATGCTCACTCTGTATGTGCTTTCCTCCCATTTCAGGCTTTCCCTGCTGTCAGGATGAGCGACTGCAGCGAAATCGCTGTTTGTTCAGTGGATGTTGCACACATATGGTCTCTAGCCAAAGAGTTGTAACCGTACTGCTGTTGTGAGACCCTAGTTTCCTAAGTGGACTGAGTGTTGTAGAATATCTACCTTCTGTTTCTTATGGCCCTTCTGTTTTAGTTTAATTGTAGAACCGATGGAAAATTGGTTGCAACTGATGCTGAATTGGGATCCACAGCAGAGGGGTGGAGGTTTGGATCCTGAGACCAGTCATCCAAAGTGTTTCCTAATAATGGATCACATACTGAATTTGAAGGTCAGTGAGGGTTGCTACTGGGTTTAAAGGCCTACTGAAAGCATCTCAGAGGACAAAAAGTGTGTTCGGTGGAGCAAAGCTATAATTCTGGCATCATCGATCTGCAGGATTGTGAGGAATGGTTTTGTTGGTATCAGGTAGTGACTGGATATACAGCCTGTCCAGTACATATCTGAAGGCAAAATATCACCAGCAGTATTAATCTCTAGCTTTACACTTGGAGTGAAGAATGACCCTATATTACTGTCTGCCATCTCAGAAAAGACTCGCCAAGGTCAAATAATGGTTTAATGTTTGCTAATAACAGTTTTCCTGAACTCCACTACTGATGCTGTGACCTCCATGTCCATGTACTGTAGCAGTTCCTGTAGTAGAACAGAGATTACATTCACCTGACTCTTCCCCTTCAAGTAATTATTGGAGCTTTGCTGGAGTAAAACTAGCTGAGGCAAGCATGTGTAGAAGTCAGAGAATAATTTTGCCTGATCTGGAAGGATTCCAAAGGAATTAAAGCCTGAAACACAAAATATTGTGCCCATTATTGGGACTTGTCAAAATCTGTACATCGTGGTTTGGTTTGGGTCCTACAGTCTCTGCCCAGATGCAGTAAAACTATAGACAGGGTCATGAGAGCGGTGAGAAGACAAGCACTGGTATGCAACAGCTTTTTTGTATGAAGGGCTTAAAGGAAGTGGGACTCCCTTTCTTGGGAGCAGTACTGGCCAGCATCAGAGACAACAAGGCTCAAGATGGCTTTTATGCTAGCTTGTCACCATTCTTTTCAGGTAATTAAGCTGCAGCATGGCTTGTGAAGGCTATTAGTGGGTTTGATTGTAATTTTTTCTGGCATTAAGTTAAAAGTTATAGGCCCAGGCTTTGAGTTTTATTATGTGGGCCTTTACTGCTGAACTTGATTATTATAGTCATTGAGAGCATCAGTTGAGTTTTAATCTAACATGTTAATTGCTACATACTCCCTCCCAGGCCTTTGTGTCCTTTGTCTTTGATAGCCAGTGACTTGTAATCAACTTGTACTCTTTTTACAGATAGTACACATCCTAAATATGACCTCTGCCAAGATTGTTTCATTTCTCTTGCATCCTGAGGAAAGCCTTCATTCCCTTCAGATTCGGATTGAGTTTGAAACTGGAATAAGTACTGGAAATCAGGAACTGCTGTTGGAAACAGGGATTTGCCTGGACCCTCGGAAACCTGCTTCCCAGTGTGTTATTGATGGCGTAGTAAGAACTATTTTGTTTGTTTAATGTCTTTCACATTCTCAGGGAATTTAAAATCCTAGGGAAGATAAATTGCCTTAATCTTCTCCCACTGGAGACAGTTTGCTCTGTAAGTGTGGTAACTCTTAAGGTCTAGCATTATTTCCTTTATTAGGTAATGTAAGCAGATTCCTATAGTTATATTCCATCTAAATATTTAAATAAAGTAACTTGCTAGCAAAGGGTTTCTGTGGGATCTATCAACATCAGTTTTTTAAGGCACCTGATAAGAAGATTGTCTGCCCACAATACTTAGTTCATGATGTAGCCAGGACCCTCTGGGTTAGTAGGAGCTTTGTTTAGGATTTCTCTTGTTTATGTTCTCTTCTCTTTTCTCACCAGAGAGGCTGGGATAGCTACATGGTCTATTTGTTTGATAAAAGCAAAACTGTCTATGATGGACCCTTTGCTTCTCGGAGTCTGTCTGACTGTGTAAATTACATTGGTAAGTATACTGGAGGACAGCTGGGAACTGAAAGCACTGCTTCTCATGTAATATGAAAGTAGATTTGCCTTACAAATCTCTGTGTGTTGTCTTGAAGGGCACTTTCTAATTCAAAGAGGACCATTTAAGAACCCAGAGCAGCCTAACAAAGTTTCATCTGCAGCGCTGTATCTCCACATTTTGTAGATGTAACAGTTCAGAGAATTTATTGCCCGCCCTTTGGGAACTCTCCTACAGAGCAACTTAAGAATTCATTTAAGGTTTTTGCCCTTGTATTAAATTCTGTGCACTGAACAGCATCTACCCCACCTAAACACCTAAACCTAAGCATTGCCCCACTTAAACAGAACCATGATGTGAATGGAGGCTTGGGAGGTAATATGTACAACCTCATTTTGTAGCCTAGAGAGGGAAACTTTTAGTTATGTCTGCACACTACATCCTGGAAAGAAAATTCTGACTTGGGGGCTGTGATTTCATTTGCACAGCCTTCTGCTCTGCTGAAGGGTCTTGCCCCTTCACACCCACAGAGTGTTGCAGTGACATCGTGCTGGGAGGTGTTTGCAGAACCTGAGCGATAGCCCACATAGATGTCCTTTGGTAGTACCAAGGGTCAGGAACCTTCTTATCTTAGGGTTTAGCACCTGTAGAAGTTGGGCACATATCCCTTCTTGTCCTCCTCCTCTCCTCCCTGTGCACAGGTACAAACAGGTTTCAGCTCCTTGCAGTCCTGTCTCCTGAGGTTGGGTGCTTTGGATGTTCATGAGCAGTTGCCCTCCTACAGCTCTCCTAGATTTAAGCTTCTGAACCCCATATCAGCATCCTGAGGATTACCTTTTTGCTCTATACTGTCTGTGATAGTTGCATTGCAGCTGTGATCCATCTCTCATGTCTTGCCTAAGTGAAAGAACAGGTCCCTCATTCTATGCTGCTGATCATTCAGACCCTATATGAGGAAATCCACCTTGCTCTGATCACAGAGCCAAGCCAGTGTGTTTGGCCATGTTCCACTAGTTGCAGAACTGCTGTTGTTCCCCTGTGGAGGTTATGAGTTAGGGCTGGTCTTCAGAGACACTTGGCAGAGCTTCAAAACCTGTCTTCCTGACAGTTTTTAGTTCTAGTGATAATGTGTCTGTAACTCCACAGCACTGATCCTACTTCTGGTCTCACCAAGCAGAGCCAAGTATCTGAGAAAGTCCAGGCCCCTCCTTCCTCTTGAGTTGTTAGGAGTAGAGCCTGGCTATTGCTGCATGGATACTGGTGGGATCTGCTCCGGTTGGTCCCTCTTAGTTCTGGTGCTGCTGCCTGGCCCTGGCATCATCAGTATACTTGTAGACCATGCATGAAAGCTGCTTCTCTGCTTACAGCTTCCCTTACATGTCTCCTGAAATGACAGCAGTCATCTGCAGGACCTAATATACCTCTGTGAAGGTGTACATATACCCAATATACCTGTATGAAGGACCTTGTATACCTCTATGAAAGAAAAAATAGTGTCAAGGGACAGGAGACATCTACTGGGATACTGCATGTAAAGGAAATGACTTGTGACATACAGTTACTGTTAAGTAGCCTAATTTTCTTTGGCCTGGCTCTGCAGAAGTTGTGCTGGTTTTCCCTGTCTCCTTTTACTGTCATTCAGGTTTATTCCGATTGATTTTTTTTTTTTTTTTTTTTTTTTCCCTTCTGTGTTCTGGGCTATTTTATTCTGGTGAATCTCATGGCGTGGCATCATTGTGCTGAATGTCTTGGAGCTAAGGCTGTTTGCAACATGTTTATTGATATCCCAATGTACTGACAGTTCCCTGTCTTTATAGGGGAACACACATAAGTCCTGCATCTTTTCCCCTTAAACATCTATATCAGGAATCTAGAAGGAAATGTACAAAAGATTTGAAGACATTTTCAGATGAAACACGTGTCAGGACAGTGACCAATATCAATTGATTAAGTGGAGCAATTAAATTTGCTTTGCTCGCTTGGGCAAGTGCTTTAGATAGTTTTTGGATAAAACCACCCATGGGCCCTGCCTTGTGCCATGTTTCATGCAGTGTGCCCTGTGTCCACTAGTGCCAATAGGCCAAAGTGCTCAAAGAAATTAGTACTCTTGTAGCTGTGAGTTCAAACGTGAGCTGTTACCTGGCCAGTAGCAGGCTGTCAAATACCTGGGGAGCCGTAACGTGAAAGGCTTATATGCACTTAGGCAGCATCACATAAAAATTGAGCAGATCTTATGTGGCTTGATCCCTTAGTTTAGGCACGTGAAACAGGAATTAGGAATGTTGTAAGCACTGAAGTCCTTTTCTAGAGTTGTCCTTTCATTTGTGTTTAATTGTGTTTTTCTTGTATTCAGTACAGGATAGTAAAATCCAACTGCCAATTCCTCAGCTGCGCAAGGTATGGGCAGAAGCAGTTCACTATGTGATTGGGCTAAAAGAAGATTATAGCAGGCTTTTCCAGGGCCAGAGAGCTGCCATGTAAGTTGTTACTCCTCATTCAGAAGATTCAGTATTATGCAAATACAGAGACTGTTTGCATGGAAATGTACATCTCGGGGAGTTCTGGTTATCCAAAGTTTTACAGCTCTCTGCTGCGCTATACTTTTACATTATAAAACATATTTGGGCTGGGCGCTTATTCCACTCCAGGAATTTTACTGCATAGTGCCTGACATTGATAATGACTGAAAAAATTTGAACCTTGAATATAGTCACAGACTCAAAGAATGACTGAGGTAGGCAGGGACCTCTGGAGGTCATCCAGTCCAACCCCCACACACACACACACTCAAGCAGGGTCACCTAGAGCTGGTTGTCCAGGACCATGTCCAGATTTTTAAGTATCTCCAAGGATGGAGACTTCACAACCTCTCGGGGCAACCTGTGCCAGTGCTCAGTCACCCTCACAGTAAAAAGGGGTTTCCTGATGTTCAGAAGGAACCTCCTCTGTTTCAATTTTTTTCCCATTGCCTCTGGTCCTGTCACTGGGCACCACTGAAAAGAGCCTGGCTCCATTCTTTACGCACCCTCCCCTCAGGTACTTGTACATTTTGACCCCCCACTCAGCCTTCTCTCCTCCAGGCTGAACAGTCCCAGCTCTCTCAGCCTTTCCTCATAGGAGAGATGCTCCAGTCCCTTAATAATCTTCATGGCTCTTCATTGGCCTCTCTTCAGTATGTCTATGTGTGTAGTGGGGAGCCCAGAACTGGACCCAGGTGTGGCCCCACCAGTGCTGAATAGAGGGGAGGGATCACCTCCCTCGCCCTCCTGGCCACATTCCTCCTAATGCAGCCCAGGATAGTCATTTCACAAATGGCAGAATGAGTGGAACTGTTTGTTATATTTGTAGGGTTTTGTCCTGTGATTGAATCACAGAATGGGCAGTGTTATATATCTCAAGTGATAAAAAAGGTGCCAGCATTCACCAGGGGCAACATGCACTGCAGGACCCTGTAAATGATAAGAAATACTCTACGCTGCAAAGACTGTTTAACTGAGCTTGACAAAAAAACTGGGAAATGAGGAAGGACTTTCTCTTTTGCTTGCTGAGGACCTGCAGCTTCTGAGGATGTGAGATGGAGTCTATGATCCCACCGAGACTCCCTGTTCCAAGGGTCTTACAAAATTTTTTGCTAGCTATGCATTCTCTTCAGGTAATGTGACAGCACTGGCCACATAGTCCAGATACGCTTTTCAACTAAGGTGTGCTGTTCTTGTTTCATTTGTTAGGCTCAGTCTTCTTCGGTACAATGCCAACCTAATCAAAATGAAAAACAATATGGTGTCAGCATCTCAGCAACTGAAAGCAAAACTGGAATTCTTTCATCAAAGCATTCGCCTCGACCTGGAGAGATACAGTGACCAGATGGCTTATGGCATATGTATGTATGTGTAATACTTGCCTGGGTGTCTTGTCTGATCCTATAAAGGATCAGACTGACTATGAAGGACTGTGGGTAAGAACTAGCTTAAAAGAGAATTAATGCAGGAGCTGCCATTGTGTTCCTCAGCATCCTTATGGGTGTATTTTAGCTGGGGCAGATGCAGGAGTAGAGTTTGGCAGAAGCAAAGGCAGGAGGATAAAAAAAATGTTTTTGGAGACCTTCAGTGACAGTGAAACAGGTGGTCAGCTGTTCCCCACTGAGAACACCAAGCTAAGAAAATTGGAGTGTTAATAGTACTGGTGATGTAAATGTTTGCTATTTATTCATTCAGAGTCTGATCCATTTGGAGTTGTCACTGGGCATAAAGTGGAGGGCAGAGTTGCCACACTTGATATACAGTGGAAGGGCCACTAACCATCCATGGCAGAACAAACAGGCGTGGTGACTGCAGAAACACTGTTTTGAATAGCACTAAGGGAGTGATCTTGCTGTGCTTTGTAGCATGAGTCAGGATGAGAGATGAGGTGAAAAAGCACCAGCTACAGTTTTAATGTCACAGAAATGTCTGGATCTTACAAATACTATTCAGGTGAGAATAGCAAGATTTATGCATAGTTTCAATATATGGCTAAAAACCGAAACTTGAGTCAAAAATTATGACTGGACTGAAGGATGATGATGGAAAATGGAAAGACATGGTGAACTGGTTTTGGACAGTCTGTGTTTAATCAAAAGTGGCAGTTATTGAGCTTAATGGTGGAGTTTAAAGACTCAAACTCATTTTAGGCTGGTGATTGCAAACAGTGAAATCCTACCAAATGGTTTGTATGTGAGTTAAGGTCGAGCATGGAGTTGTTAAGTTGCAACTTTGCTGTCTCTCTGTGATCTCTGGGTCATGACGCCTGCTTGAAGGTTCAGCATCATGCTCTTTGTGTTCAAATTCAACTGATGTATGTAAAGTTCAGGTCATGCTTTATTTTTGTGTCTATATCTTTTTATAAATTAACAACCCTCTTAAGCTTCAGAAAAGATGCTCAAAGCCTGGAAGGAGATGGAAGAGAAGGCTTCTCAGTGCGCACAGGTAGGGGATATTAAAGAAGCTTCATTATCTCTCTGTGAAGGAGATCATGACAGGAACTTAGTGTCGTATGTGCCACTGCCCTGTCCCTTCAGTGTGTTTCATATCCTTCCTGCTGTGGGAATGAGAATATCATTGCAGATGCATTAAAAAAGAAACAGTCCCCAGTCACCAGGTTGTTTGAATCTAGTGATTTGAACAAAACCAGTGCAAATGTCACTAGACTCAGTTGTCTATATAGGAAAGTAGATTACAGAGATATGTTATTTATTGCCCAAAAGAAATGGTGTTGCTGTAGACAAGAGTCTTCCTGGTTGGATTTACTGCACACAAAAATTTCCATTGCTAAAGCTGAAAATAATACCGATCACTTACTATGCACTGATTTCAAAATTGCAGTACTTTATTTAGGAGTACAGACATAAATTTCTGGTATTCTGCAAGTAAATATGCAAATTAGTTTTTAATGAGAGTCATCCATAAGAAATTTAGAGCAGAGCTAGAGCCAGTTCTTACTCTGAGCAGTAGTCCTAATAGTTAACAGATGTTTTTCACTTGTGGTTTATAGACAGTTGAGCTGACATAATGGCTTTCTGTTTCTTGGAGAGTCAGTTCTGCAAGAAAGCCTAGTTGAAATTTATGTACTGCTTAGAATTCTGATCTCTGTCTTCTGGGAATGAGCATTTTAATTTTACCTCCACTGAAAATGGATGAGGAGACAGAGGCTTTCTTGACAGAGAGTAGTTCTGCCTACAGTTCTGTCCAGACCTTTATAGGGAAGGAATAAGCTTTTAGGTGTGAAAACCAGGGACAGAGTTAGGATGATCATAGTTTATTGTCAAAAGCTGTTTCTTCTTCTCTTCTACTGGATGTACTGAATAAAGCTTGGGAGGGGGGAGGCATTCAGAGGGGAGCATTCAGAAGTGCGGGCATTCAGAAGGAATGCAAGGAAAAGTCAGCACATTTGTAATGTATTTCTCAGAGTAGAGGTCTGATATGTCTCAAAAGGTCTCAAAAATATTTGAGATATTTTAATCTCAAAGTACTCTCTTTTTTGTGCTCCCTTATAGTAGCTAACTGCAGGAGTGCCAAGAGCATTGCATGTTCTGCTGACCAGGACTGTCACGTTGTTTGCTGGGCTGATGTCTCGCATTTCTGCTCTCCCCTGCAGGCAGTTCTTGTATTGGCTCTCATAGTAATGCAGAGCACAGTGATTAATACATAAAAATCCCAGACACCATTAGAAACACAAACAATAAATTACGTTACCTATTTTTTTCCCCTATGAAGGAATAGACTGGGTAGTTCAGGTTCTGGGATCCATTATCTATCTTCATCTAAGTCAAAAGATTGTTGGAGCCTTGATTCTGCTTGCTCATATGATGGAGATCAGGGGAACTGGGATTCCCATCCGAATTCACCTCTGTTTACCTCTTTAAATTTTGGGATCTTGTTGCTCCCTGTTAGGAAGCAACAAAGATAAAAGGGAGGCTGCCTACAGCAGAATAATTCAAAGCTGTCAGTGGCTGTTTCCAGAAAACCAGGATCCTCAATAAATATTTACTTTGCAGACCATCAGAATTATGTTCTGTCTTCAAGCTGTGCAGTCCACGTATATAGTCACACTGTGTCCATTTATCAGGAATGGAAAATGTTTTACTCTGTAATACACAGTCGTATCTCAGTCTATCTAACGGGCAGCTTAACTTCTGTGAATTCAAGAGACACAATTATGCTGTGTGGTCAGTCATGGTGCTCCAGATAAAGACATTTCTTTTGGTAACAGGGTTTACTTCACATTTTTCTCACAATCTGATTCTCCTTTGATTCTTGCTTCTCTCTGGCTTCTCGCTGCTTCTTCTTCTTGGTTTATTTGTTACCTGCAAGACCTACAGACATCCCTTTTGGGTCAAGGGGTCACATCCCATTTATATAGCCTCATACCAAATACTTCTGCAGCTTCAGCAAGGGGTATGTTCTTGAAAATGTTCAATTTGCAGGTCCTACAGCCCCAGGTCAGAAAGGAAGAGCTGAAATATCTCAAAATACTTTCTCAGGAAGGCAGATCAGTGCCCACAGTCCATGGCGCTAAGACCCATTACAGTGACCAGTGCTTTCTTAACCGTGCTGGAGATCTCCACGTACCTACTCCTCACGCTCAGAAATTTTGTTGTTGGCTCCCTCAACTAACTTAACTGTGGGAGCTTGGCATAAGATTGGTATCTTTTATATTGCTTTGAGGAAGATGTGAAATACCGGAGAAATGTCAGACCAAAATGCATATGGGAGGGTGAAATGTGAAAGCACCCTCTGTCCATACTGTAAGAGTAGGAGGAAAAAAAATCTTCACTGCTGGAACGTATGTAGAGCCAGAGAGTATGTGTGTGCAGCGTGCATCTCAAAGAGATACGATTTATGAAGACACTGATTTTTCTTGTCCAGTGTGGTTGTCAGAGATTTGGATCTAGGTGGTATCATCCACTGAGAAGATAATAACAGTATCCTCAATTATTGTAGCAGGAGTCATGTCAAAGAGCTTTTTTCTCCTAAACTCTGCATGGATTGAGCCCATAATCCAAACAAGTATTCTGGGGATCTTTATCTACTTTATTGCACTCCTCCTTCAGTTTGATTTGTAACTGTATTTCCCCATTAGGCTGAAGATATTGGATACCTGGATGAGCAGATCATGGCTCTGCACACAGAGATTGTAGAGCTTCAGAAGAGTCCGTACGCAAGGCGCCAAGGAGAGGTCATGGAGAGCTTGTAAGTTCTTTGCTTATTATTTTTATTGCACATAGATGGATTTTGTGTATTTCAGTGTCTGAGGGTTTTTTTTCTTTGGTGATTCCATCAGCGCTTTTGAAATGCACTCTTCGCTATTTGCAAACTGTGAGTACAGAGTAGTTTGCAATTGTTTTAAGACCATTTGGTGGTAAAAGGGAAGATCCCACCACTTGTGGCTGTACATTCTTCATTCCTCTTGAAGTTCTAACGATCACTTGGTAGCATTATAAGTTAGAATAGGACACTGCTCTGTCTGAAAGCTAGCTGTGCAAGAAAGATTAACATTCAGTCACAGGAGTAAACTCATCTAACTTACCTAACTTACCCTGCAGCCGCACAATGACTAGACCTGGGGAAACGTGGAAAACACAGCTGGGGAGGACAGGACGCTTCTCTGTCGCTGACTATGAAACTTCATCTTAGAAGAGGATGGGCCTAAGATACATATCTTGGTCTCAACTGAAAAATGCAGAGGATTTCTTTTTGCATTGGAAAAGAGTGAATTTTATAGTGTTGAGTGAGAAAATTATGAAACCATTGTAAAATCCTGTTAAATATCTTCAATGTGTTTTCAAAGCAAGGATAATTAACAACTCATGGATACTTGAATGTTTGGAAAGTTGAATATTTATTTTTTTAAAAAGTATGAAAAAATGTGAAAGAGCTAAGTGGTATTACTGATCTTAAGAAGATGTAGGAAGCAATTATTGTAGTTTGGGCTGTTGCTGAGAGCACAAGTGACAATTATAAAAGAGAGGGATCACATAGCCACCAAGATTAAATAGCCACTAAATCTGTTGTTAGTAAGAGCTCTTCTAAATGACTCAGTATTCTGGGAAGAAACATGCCTGTTCCTGGCATGTTCTCCCCCCTCCCTCTTTACAGAGCTAGATCAGCTAAGTTGCTTTTCATCCATGTGTAGTTGCAGAAGCAGCAGAACGGGTGCACAGGGGAGGAAGTGGTGCAAGGGAGAAGCCACCTCTTGCAGCAGTAGCCCACATTCAGAGCAGCTTAAACTAATCATGAACCTGCCCCATAAAACATTGTTTTTAAGCACTTTCACCACTGCAAACCCAAGGCTGTATCAGCTATTTGCAGGTGCTTAAAGTGTGCCCTAAACTGTTGATTATTCTGGTCTAAAGCTACTCCTTTTAATGAGGAGTGTAGTGGAGAACAGATTGAGACTCCTGCTCTTTAGTTTTTGGGGCTAGAGCAAAGCATACTGCAGAGCACTAGCTTCAGGTTTGATGTACACAGCCACAAGACACACGTGGATCCTGGGTGATGTCTCAAATTTACCTGACGGTGCTGGATGCTAATGTTCTTTTTTTCCTAGTGCAGCAGGAGTAAAGAGTACCTCTCCCTGTATCCTTGGCTGATGGAGGAGTTTTGAGATGGATAACTATCCAGCACACTAGAAATGCTGACTTACATAAGCAGAAGCAGCTTGCATGATCTCTTGAAACAGTATTGGGCTGATCTAAGAGCAGCTAAGGGGAAGAAGAGGCCTGGTGAGGGCCCAAAAGCAGAGTTAGAAATGGCTAACTGCTACTTGTTTCTGACAGACTTTTGATTTAGAACAGTGAAGATTTGTTCAAGGGTGGAAGCTTCAGTGTTTGGCTGCGTTTGAAATACTTGAAAGAAGTAACATTTATTTAATGGGAAGAAGAGACACTGTCCTCTTGTTTGTGATGCAGCTGTCTCTTTCCATTTGCAGAATATCACTGTAAAATTCAGGCAAAAAATGCAGAACAGGAACAAGAATTTCTCAGGCAGTTGTGCAGAAGTACCTATAGTTACAAAAATGAAGTTTCTTAATTAAGGATACCACAGAAAGAAAACACAGCTGAGCCACGTGAAAATTTGAAACTGAAAATAACCTCCAATTGGTATGGTTATCTGAGAAGAAAATGCATAATCAGAGGAAAGAGAGACAGCTTTTAAGGAGGAGTTGGTTTCCATCACAGAAAGACCATCCCTGTGTTCCAAATGTCATACTTGTATACTAGCTATAGAAGAAGGTGGCAGCTCCAACGAATGAGGTTCAGCAAGGCATAATTTAATTGTAATGCTTTTTTTCTTGAGTCACCTGCTTGTTGATACATGTATGAATCATTTTCTTCTTTTTAAAGGGAACAGAGAGCCATAGACCTGTACAAGCAATTAAAAACAAGACCTCCAGGTATGGAAGGAGATGGTTCAAAGACTATTTCACACTCATACCCCATGACTAATTTTTCTGAACTCAAACCCAGAGAATACTGTTTACTAGGAGAAGGCAAATGATTGTATTAAAGTTAACCAGACTCAAGGGCATACCTTAAGCTGATTTCTTCTTTTTGCTGAGCCTAGAGCTCTCCCAAATTCCTGTAGTCCTGTTCCTCAGCCCTGGACTTGTCTTTTGGTTTTCAGTCTTGGAGCAACTGCCCTGAACACGTGTCTGCCTTCTGACACTCTCTACCTTTTTTCCTGCCCCCAGTACTATTGCTTTACTCCCCCCAGACGTGGGAAGAACTGCTGTTCCTCTGTTGTCACACCCACCCAAGGGCAGTCTCTTTTCTCCTGCTCCTCTTCTCTCCTAATTATAGTGGATGGAGCCCCATGTTTGGGGATTATTATGTTCTGAACATTGTAACTGCTGAGCAGAAAGATTTAGTCACTTTCGCATTTGGCAACTACCTGCAGTTGCTATTGAAGCCAGTATCTAGACAGCAAGGGTGGCTGGAATTGTATACGTTACTGCAGAGAGAAGAGACATTAAGGAAAAGCTGTGCCTAATGAGAGATTGTGACAGATTTTAAGATGTTTCATTGTTTCAGTTTGTTTGGCTGCACTCATTAAGTCAAACCTTTCCTTGACTCTGGGCGTTTGTGTCCAGAGTGGCTCCTCGCTGAAGAGCATTTTACTAATGTGGTGATTGATGGCCCTTCCAGATCATGCCTACAGTGACAGCACGGACATGGTGAAGATCATTGTGCAGACAGTACAGAGCCAAGACCGAGTTCTCAAGGAGCTGTTTGGCCATCTCAGGTACTTTATGCAGAAAAAAAAAACAAACAAATGCAACTTGCAGCATTTGTAGCTTTGTAGCAGGAAAGGAGAGGGAAAACCATGGAGATCAGAGCCCAAAAGCTCCATCCACAGGTATACATTTCTCATAGCAATATTAATTCTGCTCCTTTGTGTCTGTGTTGAATTTCCACTTACTCTTTTAAAACGTATAGCTAATGTGTACAGCTAATAGGGAAGGGGAGGAGAATGCAATGGCTTGCACTGTTAGCATCCAGGAATTCACTTTAAAATGAGACAAATTCTGCCAGTGTTTAGGTTGGGATTAAAATCTTAAGGGAAAAAAGAAATAGTGTAACGACTGAGAAGATACCACAGTGATTTGTTCATTAATTCATTCATTCTTCAGGTAGCTCAGAAAAAATGTCATTATGCAGATGTCAGTAGTCAGTAAAGCATGATTTAGTTTTATTGTCGTTGTGGTTTAAGCTTAATAGATCGCATAAAGTAAGTTGTTAGCTATGGTATGGTCAGCCCACAGAGACCAACAGAGACCAGAGAAGATTAATAAAATACCATGGTTGAGTTGCTGTGCTGTCCATTGTCATTAATTTTTGCATTTCAAATAAGAAGAGCTTATATTGTGGGTATTAATAGTAGTGTCATTTGCCTCCTTTTTTGAGTCTTAACTGGACTTGGAAAAGTCCAGGGGTCCCTCCAGTCTTGCAGGTTTTGTACCTGCAGCTATCACAGTGCTGTGCTAAGAGAAAGGGGTGTTCTCACAGAATTTTTCTTGAATCCCAAGGTGAGGCTTTTGGTTTTGCCAAAACATACTGCCACACATGCTGGAAGGTAACTTTGTGTTTGGTTTTTATTATAGCAAGCTCTTGGGCTGTAAGCAGAAGATCATTGACTTGCTTCCAAAGATTGAAGTGGCTCTAAATAACATCAAGGAAGCTGACAACTCAGTGATGCAGATGCAGGGCAAAAGACAAAGGGAGATATGGCATTTGCTGAAAATCGCTTGCGTAAGTAGCTTTTGGACTACTCGTTTGCTCTTCCTTCCAGTGCAGGAGCCAGGGGACATCAAATGAAACTCTGAAGAGAGCATAAAGGGATAACTTCCACACAATGGTTGATTTTACTGTAGAGAAGGGAAGTTTGAGATGCTAAAAGTTGACACAGGTTTAGAAAGGGTGTAGACAAATTCATGGAAAAGAAGCCCAGTAGAAGACTCCTTGGTCCCAGTAGGTCATCAAACTGCATACGCAGTGGCTGGAGTGTGGTAGACATGCCATACCATGCCATGCGCCATGTTCTTACATTCCCTGAACATCTAGTGTTGGCCGCTGTTGGAGGGCATACACTGGGACTGGTGAACTGCAACCTGATGTATTAAACCTATCATTATTTTAGTGCTGCAAAAGCAAAATAGGTGCTTCCCAGGTTAGTTTAAGGTGTTTTAAGACTACACTGCTTTTTCTGCATCAATTATAGTGACCGTACAGCTGAAGTGATCTCCTGATTTCCACATGCCTACATTCAAGGTCAGCATAGGAAACATGTATGTCTTCCCCCTGTCAGGAGAGTTGCTGCTGTGCATGACTCACAGTTTAGGACATGGCACCACCTCCTAATTCTTCAGTGTAGAAGACATGCCATGTACAACACGGGTGACTTTTGTCATGCAGAGACATTTGGTACCAGCTATTAGCAGACCTGTGGAGGGTTGAATCAGCTGACTTGCCAGCCACAGGCATGGCCTAGATTGTATGTATGTGTTACAAACAGTGCTTATGTTCAATTGCAAGTCTTGCATACAAAATAATTAAGCCTGACTAAATCCTTCCTTTGTCCATCACAGCAGATTAATTTCTTTTTTCTAGACTCAGAGCTCTTCTCGATCGCTGGTAAGCTCCAGCCTAGAAGGGACAGCCTCAACTCCGGCAGCCATGTGGCTTTCACAGAGCTCCTCAGGGAATGTACCTCACCCTCTGTCATCTGTGGCAACTCCTGAAGATGGGTAAGAGCTGTTGGGAAAGGAGGCCACTGCAGAGAAGTCAGTGTAGCCATTTTGTATGCATACACTCTGAAATCTTGTCCTCTGCCACTGGACTCTCCAGTGCTGAGGGGGGCTGAGGAGCATGTCTTCACCACATCCCATGTGGTGGTTTTTGGATATGCTGGGCAGGGAAAGTTTTGGCATACTAGACTGTCTCTGAAGGCAGTGTTGTTCAACTCATGACTGGAGTTCTAGTAACTTACCTCTGGCCCTATCACAGCAAAATGCAGCAATGAGATTTTGAGCCAAAATGCGGTTTCTTTTCATGCCCAAATTCTGGTGCAAGTCCCAGGTAAATCAGGCCATATTTAGTGCTTCTTACAGCTTCAGTGATTTTAAGAAGTCTTAATTCAAATGGAGGTCTGAAGTCGGGGTCAGTACTAAGCAATCCATCTGGTTCAATATCTGGGATTTTTTTTATCCTTCCAAAAAAACGTTGCAGTAGCTCATATGTTACTAATGCTCTAAAAAATCAGGAATTAGGTTGAACTCTTTATTCACAAACCTCCACTCTCTCGTCCTGAGCAAGTTCCACATACCACTCTCAGCTAAAGCTTGTGATCTCCATCAGCTAGCACTGTGCTATTCATTTCTTGCATGTTGTGTTATTCTGTCTTGGGGTTGGATTTGGTTATTAAGGCCCCTCTCTCAGCCAGTCCTAGCTCAGTAGTAAGAGAGTTGTCAGGAGCCAAGGGGTTTTTCTCTTCGCTTCATTAGCAATTTTACTTCCAGTCAGCCTAACAGAAGGGAAGACGCCCCTCAAAGACTGCTCAGCCCTCAATCCACAGCAGTGCTGGTTTTGTGGGGGCTGGGGCAGGGGTTGTGAACATTGGCATCAAACCATTTTGCCATTTTTGGGTGGTCAGGGAAATACCTAGGTTCTGAAGATACACATCTTCTAAGCAGGCTTTTGCTGGAAGTTAGTTGATTTTTCTGAAACCCTGAGCAACCTTGTCTGCTTCCTCTTTTCTGTCTGCTGGTGCGGGGCAATTTTTGCCTCTGAGTAATGTGGGGTGATCGCCTTGTAATAGGTGCTTTCCTGAGCAGGGTGCCTTTGGATCGCCTCAGAGCTCCTCTTCGAACCATGACTTCACTGTACGAGGCACTGTACAAAGAGTCAAGAGATGTAAACCTTATGGGGAGTGGGCAGTGACTCCAGGCCCCTCATACTCAGCTCACTTCCTAGGTTCTGTTAAGGCTGAGTTTCAGTGTGGTTTGTGCAGTTCCTCTGTAGGGAAGGAGAGGAAATCCACACTTCCAGGGTGGGGATCTGCAGGATGCCACCTCAAGGCATGTTTTTGTGCCCTACAAGGTAGTGCCTACAATTACAGAGAATTCCTATAAATGAGTTTTATGGCTTGTTTGGTTTTTGGGTTTTTTTTTCCCCAGTGCAGAGCCTTTTAATGTTGGTGTTACTTTGTGTTTTAAATCTGTCATCTTATGCCTTCCCTTCCCTGCAGGGAAAATTTTGCCCATGTGATAGAAGAGAATCTGAATTACCTTGAACTCTTTAGCAGTATTTTGCAGGAGGCGAGACAGGAGCAGAACAACAGCATGATGGTAAGTCTGTTGATGTATCTCTGAGGACCTGATTTTTAAGAGCCACAGCAGGGTCCTCTTGGGGTGTGAAGAACTCCTTAAATAAGGCCATTTATGATGATGTGAATTGCTGTGGCTGGCAGGGGATGTCTGTCATCCCTCCTGGACTCCGCTAACATGCCGGTCCTTATGGAAGGTAGCACTTGGTGCTAGTGTCAGCTGAGTGGTCTGTGTGGTGGAGTGGGCTGTTCCATGGGGCCCCCTGGCTAGTAGAGCTTGCTCTGAATGCTGATTGTATTCTCAACTGGAGAGTCCTGGTTTGTTTCCCTGCACTGGAGTGGGCAGGGTTCTCCATTTCCAGAGCCCTTTCCTGATCATTAACTGAAGCTCTCATTATGGCAGAAGTGGGGCTTTAGAGAGTCCTAAGAAGGCTCTTTGCACAAATTGGTATTTGAAATAGCAAGAAATGACAAAAGTAAATGATGATCACCCAGACGTTTTGACACAATCTGAAACTCTGTTCCTGAACTACTAATTGAGGCCAGTAAGTTACTGCTCAAAAGAGCCCGGTTACCAGAAGAATGAAGAGCACCACAGAATACCAGTCTTCTAGAAGAGGCTCTCAGCTGATTTTAGAGGCTGTATCATAGAAGCACCTGTATAAATATAATGAGAAAAGGACAATTAGGCATGTAGATTGATCTGTTTATAATGGAGAACAGTCAATACAGCTTCTGTTAGCATGAGATTGTCTTACAAATTTATTGCAGTCCTGTAAAGAAGTCGAAGATCCACTAATATGCTGTAACTTGGATTTTCAAAAAGCTTCTTAAAGGTCTCCTTAGGGATAACTTCCATTCTCATGGCATAAAAATGTTGAAGCTGTTTACCAATTGTAACTGCTGAAATAACAAGGAACAGAGGGTTAGGGAAATGGAGATGGTTGATGAAATGGAGCTCTTATAATTCTTATACATTTTAATGTTCTAATGTTTATGAATAATAGTAAACAGTGAACTGAGAGTTTACTGGAGTTACTAAGTTATTTGGGATGGTGAAATGAAAACTAATTAGTGGGAGTTGCAGATGACAGTGTAATAGCAAGGGATTGAGCAATATGGGGAAGAAATGGACCTAATTCTTAAACATTTTAATGTTCTAATGTTTATGAATAATAGTAAACAGTGAACTGAGAGTTTACTGGAGTTACTAAGTTATTTGGGATGGTGAAATGAAAACTAATTAGTGGGAGTTGCAGATGACAGTGTAATAGCAAGGGATTGAGCAATATGGGGAAATGAAATTAGCTACTGATTAAGGCAAAATAATTATGTTAGTGGGGAAAACATTTTAATGTTCTAATGTTTATGAATAATAGTAAACAGTGAACTGAGAGTTTACTGGAGTTACTAAGTTATTTGGGATGGTGAAATGAAAACTAATTAGTGGGAGTTGCAGATGACAGTGTAATAGCAAGGGATTGAGCAATATGGGGAAATGAAATTAGCTACTGATTAAGGCAAAATAATTATGTTAGTGGGGAAAACAGCCTTAATTATGCATACCCTGGTCTTCAACCATTGGTCAATGAATGCTTAGTTTGTCTTTGTTCAGTTCTGACAGGGTTGGTATCAGTTGTGTAATACAATCTTCTCTCCTGTCTTGTCTCCTTGCTGTGGCTGGAGACGAGCAAGAAGCCGTGTGACTGACTTCTTAACTGTTAATCATCCATGTCTCCGTCATCTCCCATATCTCATTCCAGGCTGCAGCATCTGTCTCTGGCATGTTTTGGCCCAGAAAGATTATTCATTGTTGTGGAATCACGCTCTGCAGATCAGCACCTGTTTCATTATGTTTGGTTTCTTTCCCTGTTCCCTTGCATCAGGGAATCATCCTGTTAGGCAACAGGAAAGCAGCAGAAAATGGGATTTGTCATCTTCAATTCACTTGGGAAAAAACGGGGAAAAAGAATGAATAACTATAAGAACCTTTTCTCTATTCTTGCATACATTTGACTTGAAGCCTTTCTTTCTTTTTCATTTGTGTTCTTGCACTACCAGTGTGTCCCATGGTGCACTAGGAACTCCGACGGTAGGTTTTGTGCAGGCACAAAATGTAATTTCCAAAGCGAGTACAGTCTGTGACATGCCTGAGCACTGCCGTAAGCATGGGGGATTTTGTATCGGGGGCAAACTGAGTCATAAAATTGTGAGATTGCTTTTCAGCTGTTAGATCAACATGATTCTTTGAGAAGAGAGAGATGCTGGATAGTGAGTGTCCTTTGGTCACCACCCTGGAAATGTACATTCAGTAGCTGTTTCCCGCACTTCAGTTGTTTTCTTGCTTCTTCTTTCAGAGTTTTGATTGGAGCTGGCTGAAATAGCCACAGGAGCTGACATGCTGCTATCTGCAAAGTGCCTGCATGCTGAGAGGTGGCTTGGCAGCCTTCAATGTGACGAGCTGGAGGGGACTGGTTGATCAATCACCTTGTGTTTTGTAAACCTTAGTGGAGTTGATCACAAAGGTGATGGTCAGTAGCAGATACACCATTGGCAGTAACAAACAGCATTTTACAGGCTGTTGCCTACTTCGGCTTTCAACTAAACAAGTAACCTGCTTGTTGGAGACACACCTACAGCGCCCGCTGCCTTCACCTGTGGTGGGCACTCGTGGGGGCAGCCAGCCATACATATCCCGCGGGAGCCGGCGCTGAGGGCCGTGTCCCTGCAGAACCTTTCCTGGAAAGAAGGGCGAGAGCAAAGGGTGGCGGCTGCCTCAGGGCCGGGGCCCTGCTGTCCCCCCGGCCCTCCCGCCGCTTGTCACGACTGCTCACGTGTGTAATATGAATGTATAGATTATATATATTTTAAATAGAATTAACTGCAATAAATGCTGTGGAGAGGCTCTCGGTGCTCCCTCCCTGCGGGCTGGTGGGTCCTCGCCCTCACGCCGTTGCCGGGCAACAGGGCGGCGCCTCCG